TCGTTAGGTCCAATGTTGACTGACGTCTCAAACGTATTCTTAGGCCATTATTTTCACACAGAATTTTCTACGGAGTTTTGTGTGTAACCGATCATACAAGGCACAAGGCGGGTATGACCACTCGGCAAAGGATGTCTATTACTCTTTGTCGCCTGATTCCTCCTCTGTTTTCAAATGTTCGTAATGCTTATAGTTTGCATTGTTTAAATAGACTTTTGAGGATAATAACTATTAGTATTAGTTTCTTATATGTTCCGTATTTCGAAAATTTATTAAAAAAAGACGATAACTGTAACCTTATAACAAAACTAACGAGGAACATACAATAAACACATCATCTGGATACTAGTATGTTGAATGTGTCTCCCAATTGATTCGATACGCAAGAACATGCTCTACGTACAAAGAATTTCTAAAACGAGGCAACCTATTCACAAACATGATGAAATAATATCAACAGTCTCGTTTAAAATCTACATTTCTTAAATTCTTGGTCGATACAATGATATGTCAGCAAATACAGTTTATGAAAAGTCGAATGCTGACTGGCATTTACACACTGAATTGTCTTCGGATGTTTTCGTATGACCGATCAGAACAAGGAGCACATGGCAATAGTGATCGGTCGGTATTGATGCCTTCTTCTCCATGTCACCTAATCTCAACTCTAATGATTTTAGATTTACATGCTTTCTCCGAAACAATTTTGTTTCGAAGTCGTTTACTGTTCCTTATCTCCACATCAGACTGCAAAGTTCCAAAACTACGTGGCATGCGTTTAAATATCTGCATTTGCATTTTTTTGGTGAATATTTGGATTTAAATTAACTTATGGCACGCCAAATTCACAAAAATGAGATAATCATAGTTTCACAATCGATAAACTAGGTTTATCGGTTGTAAACTATAAGTTTACAAACCGTAAACTATAGTTAACAACGTTAATCTACATTTCACATTTGTAAACCATAGTTAACGCGATAATCTATGTTTCACAACCGTAAACTATACCTAACACCGAAAACAATAATTTGCGATTGCAAAACATAGATTATCTGATAAATACAGTTTCACGATTTGTAAACTATAGTTAACTATAGTTAACGATCTGATAAATATAGTTTCACAATTTGTGAAACTATGATTAACAACTCTTAACTATAGTTTACGATTGTAAACTATAGTTTACAAACGTGAATCTATGTTTATCAACAAAATCTATTGTTAACGCTTTATTACAGACAGATAAACTTAAATTAACATTCGTAAACTATAGTTAACAACCGTTAAATATAGTTTTACAGATGAAAACTATACTTAACGAATCGTTATCTATAGTTTACGGTTTGTAAACTATAGTTTACAGTCGATAAACCTAGTTTATCAATTGTGAAACTATGATTATTTCATTTTTGTGAATTTGGCGTGCCATATTAACTTTTTGAAAAGCTTTTCATTTTAAAGAGTGTAAACAAAAAAAAAACAAAAAAAAAACAAAAAAAAAATTCGGTTCTTCAATATACGAAGAGTCGATATTGTCACAATGTTTCCTTAGTGCAAGGCATAATGACGTATCTAAAATTAGTAAAATGAAAACGCAAGGCAAATATTTCACGATCAGTTTATTCTGTTGATAAAGTGAGTTTACATTAATTTGTTATGTAAACTTAACTTTATTGAGACGTGTTAACAACAGAAAAACTGCACCTTAAAGCTGAACACGATAGCAGCAGGAATTAGTCCGCCATATTCACTTGGTTCTCGCTATATCTGAAGACCCTTCTTTAAAGCCGCTCACTTAGTCACTTTTCAGTATAATGGGTAGACACCGGTGTAGACAAATATATGTTCGAAAATAACTGTGTACTTTTTCTAATGCAGGTGTGAAAAGTAAGAAACTTGCAACTGTTGCACAGGGCCGTGCATTATATAAACGAACGCAGATGTACATAACTGCAATTGAATGAAAACAAGGTTAATGTAAGATAGCCTTCACGAACACGTGTCGCCATTACACGCCGATACCCGTGACAATAAAGAAGTCTGGTATAACGTATAACGAATGCGAAAGGTAAACCCTGATACTTATATTGTGGATAGTATGATCGAAAATGGCGTTAGCCTACTTAGAATCGTGTTCAGCTTTAAAACATCATTTTACAAGTACATAAATATACATTCATATTTGGTAAATGATATTCATAAGCTTAATCACAGTAAGCTTTAACAATGTTTACCGAATAAAAAGAAAATAATTGTGCTTTTCGTTTTTAAAAGTTTGCTTTGCTAAAAGAAAGAAGAGGAGAGAGCCCGAAGTCTCTGAATTCCCGAGGAAGAATTTTCTAGAAAATGAATTTAAAATAATTTTAAAAATACTCTAAAAAAAACGTCTGTTCATTACTTAATATTACCCTATAATGACAAAATGCTTCTTTCTATGATGTTCGAAAATTGACCGCTCTGCAATCAATCTTATTCATATTTACAACTTTTTAACACTTAAATCAAATTAGGCTTATTGTGAAATTTGGAATGGAAATTTAAATATATTGTATGCAGTCAAACTTATTCATTTTACTTAATAAACATAAGTTAAATTAAAAAAAGAAGAAAGATTTTTGATATCGTTATACTTTCACCAATATAATCTATGCATTGTGCAGTGGAAAAATTTATCAAAATATATGTATGAAAAAAAGAATAATTCTCTGAAAATTTTAATTATTGTATATAAATGGTGCTTCTATCAACAATTTGATTGTTGCTGTTCCATTTTAAAAATTATTTTTTCGTGAAAAAAAAATTAGTAAAGTTTCAGTGAAGTTTTGCATAATATCAATTGTCACTTTAACAACATTCATTCTATGTAAATAATTTCTTAATACAGCTAATATGGAATTCAGTTGGACGTATTTTTGGTGAAAATAATTAAATGTTGCATTATCTAAAAAAAAAACCCAAAAACTACGTAATTTATCATTTAAATCCATGCAAGGCGACATTGTATTTTTTAACAAGAGGCCCAGGGGCCACAGCGCTCACCTGAGTACATCAGGCTTGAATTTACCCCCCCCCCCTCCAGGCGTTCATCATTTGAACAAACTAGAATCTACACTACCTGTATCCATATAAATATCACTAATCATAGCTTTGAAGTACTTGAAAAAAAGATTTTAAAAGGTTTCCCTATATATCCCTATGTAAAACTTGGGTCGGCCATTTTGGCCCCACCCTTGCCCCGGGGGTCATGATTTGAACAAACTTGAATCTACACTACCTGAGGATGATTCCACATGAGTTTCATCTTTCCTGGCCCAGTGGGTCTTGAGCAGAAGATTTTTAAAGATTTTTCCTATATATTCCTATGTAAAACTTGGGTCGGCCATTTTGGCCCCACCCTAGCCCCGGGGGTCATGATTTGAACAAACTTGAATTTACACTACCTGAGGATGATTCCACATGAGTTTCATCTTTCCTGGCCCAGTGGTTGTGGAGAAGAAGATTTTAAAAGAGTTTTCCTATATATTCCTATGTAAAACTTGGGTCGGCCATTTTTGCCCCACCCTTGCCCCGGGGGTCATGATTTGAACAAACTTGAATCTTCACTACCTGAGGATAATTCCACATGAGTTTCATCTTTCCTGGCCCAGTGGTTGTGGAGAAGAAGATTTTTAAAGATTTTTCCTATATATTCCTATGTAAAGCTTGGGTCGGCCATTTTTGCCCCACCCTTGCCCCGGGGGGTCATGATTTGAACAAACTTGAATCTACACTACCTGAGGATGCTTCCACATGAGTTTCATCTTTCCTGGCCCAGCGGTTCTGGAGAAGAAGATTTTTAAAAAATGCCATTAATTTTTAACAAATTCATAATTATTTCCCCTTGGAAAAGGGCTTGGCCCTTCATTTGAACAAACTTGAATCCCCTTCACCCAAGGATACTTTGTGCCAAGTTTAGTTGAAATTGGCCCAGTGGTTCTTGAGAAGAAGATGAAAATGTGAAAAGTTAACGACGACGACAACGACGACGACTACGACAACGACAGACAACGGACAAATTTTGATCAGTAAAGCTCACTTGAGCCTTCGGCTCAGGTGAGCTAAAAAACCAAGACTTATTTGTATCGAAACCGTTTTTCTCTTTCAAGGAAATTTACTTAGGTAAGTTAGGATCAAATTCAAATTGTTTTCCTTGGCCTTGCAAGACAACTCCATTTACTGAAATTGAAAATAGGTTAAATCAATGGATCTGAAGATAATTAAATAAAACCTCCAAACAATCTTACTTTTACTAAATAAAATAAATAAATGAACAAATGAATAAATAAATGCATATTTATTGTATTCAGTACATTCCAAAGATGATGCTTTATTGATTTTTTTGTTTTTGTTTTAAAATACTTGCCTAATTCGGGCACTGAGTCAACGACTCTATCTCCATTAGCGGCAGTAAGTCGAATGAGGAAAGGCGCCTTGACAGGTCTCTCAATAGGATCCACACCAAATGTCCAGAATCCATCATGGGTGTGAGCAAGGGTGGCCCAATTTTGCCACTTCGGTTGAAAGAATTCTACTTTGGTGGCAGGAATTCTATGAAGATTTTGGACAGGTAATTAATGATAAAAAAATTACGCAGTTAACTTTTTATTTAAAATAAAGAAAACCAAGGATAATAAATTTAAAAAAAAAATCATTTGTAACAATTTAAAGTATAAGGAACGTATTTGTAAATCCTTTCATGTAGTAACTGTTTCGTCCTTGAGTTACATTTTAACTAACCTTGCATTTCTGACTTGAAGCTTGATGTAATAAGGACTGCTCCCTTGAAATTTGTACTCGAGTGTTGAGTTTCCTACAGGACATTGTATTGCCTGCATTTCCAACCCCAACAACCCATCAACATTCTCAGGTAATGCGGGTACCCCTTAAATAAAAAGAAACCTGATACACTGCATGCAGACAATCTTTAGATATTAAAAAAATCGAGAAAAAAATCTGAATTAAAATGTCCTACCAGGCATACAGTTTGGACAAAAATCCTTTACAAAAACTGTAAATGTTCCATCGATCGGCAAGCCTCCATTATATTTACCCGACATGTTAACCTACAATATTCATTTATGAAATAAAATTCCCAAACTGCAATTTGTGTTTGATTGAACTTTCGATTTCATATTCCGTAAAAATTTATCTTTTATTAAAAAATTGAAAATAAGTTTTGATTTTTACATATTTATCAAGCATGGTTTTTATTTTTTTAAAAAAAGCACGAAATGGACGAGCTAAGATCACAGAACAGTCAAATTCTTGTAAAAGCATGGTTTCTTAAAAAAAAAAAATACAGTTGCCCTGCAAAACATACCCTGTAGCAGACGCCACAGCCATAGCCTCTGTAAAACTGACCAGCATTGATGGCTATCGTCCTATCGATGTTCTGAGCAACGGGAGGCATGCTTGGAGGATCGTAGCTACACGTCCCTCCGTGGGTAGCTTCATAAAACATTCCCTGTCCAAAAATGAAAAAGAAATGACAGAATTTCTGAATTAATGATTTATCTTTGTCCAACATATGTAACGTCTACATTCTAAAATCTATAGAATGCAAAGAATTACTTATTATTCGTCGTTTTCAAAGCAAAATGGGATCAATAGTTTTTGAAAATACAGAAAAGGTGCAAAATTTGAAGCAGTTTTTTACGTAATAGCCCCCCTCCCCCAACTGAAAGAAATTTCAAAAATGTATATCAAATGAACAGTTATCTAAAGATTGAGAAGGGTTTTCATTCTACTATACTTACATTTCCTTGATATTTGTATCGATAGAGATCTAGAACATCTTTGTTTGTTTGAGCCTGCACTATTCCAAACACAAGAAAAAATATGGCTACAGCCATCGTGAAAACAGAAATAATAAACAAGGCGTATTTTGCGTGAGATTTTCATCACTATTTAGCCTGTTTTATTGTTTTTATATAGATTAACAATTTGTTTCAAGCACGACTTGTCAGCAACAGTCGAAAGAAAGCAAAGATGTCAGTCCCCTGCAAACACGAAGATGGCGGACACAATAAAAATGTCATGGTCACAGTACAGGTGTCTTCTTTCTTTGTACATGGAGTTTATAAATAATCTCATTGGAAGAACGATCAATTATAGAGATATATTTGGATAAAAATAAAAGTATATTGAACCCATATTTATTTACGAAGAAATCTCAAGACATACTAAATGTAAACAATTCCCTGTAGAAGAATATAAGCGTATCTACAAATGTATTGCGATTTCGGTACGTTTCTAGGGCTCATTATTTTTATTCTACTTCAGAGGAACTTGGGTTTAATTCTACAAATGATAATCCAATTTTTCTCATAGTTACCTCTCTAAAGATGAAATTCTTTAAAATAGTTTTTAATATTCTCAATATATTCCGAAAAATCAACATGAATTTTCATTACCATTTCTATACTAGGCTCCTAACTACCAGTACATAAAACCCCTTATAACTAAAATTACATAGTAGGTAATTCTATCAAGCCTCTTTGATTATATCTCACTTAAGTATTTACAGCAAAGAGGGAGAAACTTTAGGAGAATACTTTATGACAATATATTTGAGAAGAGGTGAACATCAGGTGTGGATACCTAAAAATTCCAAGGAATCTTTAGGAATCGTAAGAAAATTTGAATTCACAGAATTTTACCAAAATTTTGCAACTTTTCAACACTTCACACAATCAATCCAGCTTTTCTATATCGTATACAGCTGCATTTTCAATAAACATGAAAAATATAAAACCACTCTTAAATTTGATAAATTATATATCATTTGCAAAATCAGTTTGTTAAAAACATTATGATCGTTTACACAAAAGTTCGAAGTTGATGCTTTGAATGAAGGATATGGAGATAACGAACAGTATTCAATCTCAAGGTCCATAAAACAAACAAAATAGGAGTAGAGCAAACACGGACCTCCGAAACATCAGAGGTGGGATCAGGTGCCATGGAGGAGTCAGCACTCCCTTCTGACCTTGATTGACATTACTGAGTCTCTGTACAATTTTGGATTTTTAAAGTTTTCCAAAATCTGTCTGAATTTCCATGGTAACATTGCGCCCGTTATGCTAGTAAGCCGATCTATTTTTGTATTCACATGAAGCAGAATTCATTTTTTATTCAACATTTAGATATATTGACGACGCGATTTCAAATGAACAAGATTTATTGTCATTTCTTCGTTGAATCAATACATATATCCTGTAGGAGTCGCTAAATAAGGAGTTGATCCTTATAATGATCAACGGGGAATAACGGCGTTCGAATCCCACTGGAAACCGGTCCTTCGAATCAGACTGTATTATTCGAGGTCCCGAGTCACATTAGTTGCTAATTCGATAAAAAAAACTTGCTCTATATGAGAATAATGTTGTTTAAAAACAAGACAAACTATTTACAAACAAGTTGATAAAACAAAGATATCAACAGTGTCGTTTAGAGCTTACAATTCCGAAGCTCTGTTGTCGATACAATTACCTTGTCAGCAAAAAATAATTAATACAATCTGTCCTTAAGTAGAATTCTGACTAAGCCATTATTTACACACTGAACTATCTACAGATTATTTCATTTCCCCCGATCAACACGAGGGGCTCACAGCGGGTTTGAGCGGTCGACAGAAGATGTTTACTCCTTTATCCGACCTCTGATATGCTAAGATGTGTTTGCTCTGCTCTTTTTGTATTGTTCTCTTGAGCACGCGTACTCTTCAATATCTTTATGTTTTATTTCATTACAAACTCCATTGTCGACGGATTTTTACGTTTGCCTGATCAAAAAACACACAGTGTTACCGGTTGACATGGGATGCTTACTCCTGTATGTCCTCTAACCGCATCTCAATTTTAGGTCTTTTTTGCTCTGATTCACAGTTCTATTGCTTCAATGGACTTTTGAAATTGAATACCCTTTTTTATTTTAATATCGCTATTACAAATTTATCCAATTATAAGGCATGTTTTGCAAAGAGATATCCAAGCGTATAATTGGTGAGGAAAATCTTTCTCCCTCTCTCTTTAACAATGAATATAACAATGTGCTATCGAGAAATATTCAAAACATGAATTCACTCGGTGTTATAATGGATACAAGCAAATTCAAAGAATTGTGGTCCCCCGTTTTCTGTGTCTTTGTGGGTGGGATGTCATTTGTTATGACATATTGTGTCAAATTTTGTCATAGGTAATGCACATGTCAGATATGAAAGCCCTATCTCTTCTCAATCAAATGTTATAAGGAAGTGAACCTGATGACCCCATATGGCAAAATAGCGAAGATTCAACTTTTCTTAAATACGAATTAAATATATATTGGTAGTTTCTTAAGAAAGGTCTCGCTACAAGTATTACTACCGTGAAGTATGAAAGCCCTTGCCCGAACCGTACAAAAGTTATGGCCAAGGTTAAAGTTTTTAATAAGTAGGTCAAACTCCAAGGTGAAGGTCAAAGGGTCAAAGTTGTTGTTATCCAATGAAAGGTCTCCTCACAAGGATTACATATGTGAAGTATGAAAGCCCTAGCCCATACCTTTCGAAAGTTATGGCCAAGGTTAAAGTTTTTTCATAAGTACAGAAACGTCCAAGGTCAAAGGTGATCATATCCAATGAAAAGACTTCCCACAAAGAATACATATATGAAATATGAAATCCCTAGTGTCTACCATTCAAAAGTTATGGCCAAAGTAAAAGTTTGGAATTTTTGTGTAAAAGTGGGTCAAACTCCAAGGTCAAATTTGGTGGTACCCAAAGAAAGGTTTTGTCACTAGGAATACACATGTGAAATATGAAAGTCATAGCTCCACTAAATCAAAAGTTATGAGCAAGGTTAAAGTTTTGGTAACAGACGGACAGACGAATGAGATTTAATGTCCCCTCGCTTTCGCGAGACGGGGGACAACAAAAAAGAAGTACAAAAATGAAGCTTCTATTCCAATTTATTATATCTATTTGATCCTCCGAGAATAGAGTATTTATTTACAAAGCACCACATACATAATTCAAAGCAAAGCACCACATACATAATTCAAATTTTGAACACTTTTCATGAAACAAGATGACCGGATTTACAGTGGATGTAAAATTAATGAGGTAAGGAGGAGTCCAGGCTGAATTGTACTCCATCACCATGTATAACGGCGTCGTTTGCTGAAAATATAAGACATTTTGTGACAGCAGCTATATATGAAAAATACTAGAAGGTAAAATAAGAAGATGCTTTCAAAATCGTATCTTTAATATGCTTGCACTTAATAATATAACATGGTTCAACTTGGTACCCTCTTTAAAAATATAAATAAATTAACATAAAAAGTAAAAGCATCTTTTTCCATCAAATTTCTGAACAAATATTACAAATCCAGAAGCTAATAAATGAATTGATATTATTTGAAATATGAATGATTTTTAAGAAGAACAACCCTGGTAAGCCTTATGTTTGTTAATAATAATATGGAAAAGTCAGAGGAGCACCGTTTTCTTGATATTTACCCAATCTGGGGATGTGGTCCACCACTGTTTCCCCATTGGCTGCGGTCAGGCGCACTCTAATTGGAGTGACCACTGGTTTATCAATATGGTCATTGCCAAATATCCAGAATCCATCTGTGGTGTGACGTAAAGCTGACCATGTATGAGATTTTGGTTGATACATCTCCACTTTGGTAGCCGGAATTCTGTCACAAGATCATATTTTTCCTTAAGAAAACTTTCATGAACTTATGTTTCTATATATATAATTTAAGTTAGGATTTGGTCTAATGAAAGAAATATGCAAGCATTGTTGTAAGTTTTGACTGATTATTATGTATTTAGTTAATTTTGATCAAGCTATCATTTTTCTATCTCACCTTGCATTTCGTATTTGTAATTTCAGATACCAGTTATTACTGCCTTGGAATTTGTATTCGATTTTGGTGTTTCCGACTGGACACTGAATGGCCTGAATTTGTATCTTCCATCTTCCGTCCCCATTCTCAGCCAAGTCCAAAGAGCCTAATAGCAAAGTAAAGTACTGGTGCATAATTTTATAAGGGTACTAGTAATTAATATTTTCAATTAATGAATTGACCATTTACAAGGATTGAGTAGGTTTTTTTAAAAAAATTCCTTATCTGATAGTAAAGAGACATTGATTAAACACTACTCTGAATCAATGCCCATACTAACTCAAGGTTGTTATAAAATAATGTAATTAGCCGGTAGTACATTTATGAATATAAAATTTTCTGGTTTAGTAATAAATGTCATAAATGTGGAGGTACAAAATTTGTACCGGTACATGTAAAATGTAAATCATTAGCAAAAAATTCAGAGTGAGAATATTTCTGTCTCTACAGTAGCTTTCTCATTAATAAAGTGGTCAGTCAAAGATAAACTGGACACGTCTGTATCCTTTAAGATAAGAACTGACCGGCGTGACATTCCGGACAGAGGTCCTTGACGTAGGCGGTAAAAGTTCCAGTAATTGGGTCATTGCCAGCTCCCTGACCAGTTCCATGAACCTTAAAAAGATTTAATTTTACTTATTTTTTTAAATTAAAAAATAAATTTATCTATTTTAACGTAATAATAAATAGGTAATGGAATAAAACACGTTTATATATGCTTGGAACCATGAATTAAATTTTTCTCCGCTATAGAGAACTACCAGTTCGAAAAACTGATGTTGTGGTCTGTTTGGTACTCACTCTAAAACACATTCCACAAGACAGGGATCCGTAGAACTGGGGCGCATTGAGGGCCACCAACTTGTCTAGTTTACTGGCCACGGGGGGCATACTGGGTGGGGGGGCTACAGGTACCACCTGTTCCAGCCCCGTAGTAGGTGCCCTAAAATAATAAAGTGGCAAATTTGTTTAAGATACGAACAAAAATAAATGTGGATTTATTTTTC